ATTATTAAAGAGGAAGATATGTTAAAATATAATAAATATATTTATTTATAATACTTTGTGCATGAAATGTAAGTACAAATTCATTATTTTGTATAATATACTATATATTCTTAATATACTATTACATTTTTAATAAATTATTATATGATATGATAGAAATAACAATATTGATTAATAAAAACTATAATAATATATGATTATTATATATATCGAATATTATACGATATGAAATTCATGTATGCTGTTAAAAATAATATAAATTGAATTATGATAAATAGGTTTTTACCTAACATTGAATCTATGAATAATGCATATTTATATAAATAATGAAAATGCACTTATTCAAAAATATATGTTAATAAAAAATATTAGGAAATATATGCATATTAATAATAATGAAATATATAATATCATTTACTTACCATGTTCTGGTTTTATTTGATTCACTTAAATGAAAATTACAATATTAATATAATTCAATTAATTATTTTAACATAGTTTTATTACATGTTCATTTATAGAGTTGTCAGAAACATAAATAAAATAATAGAAAGTGTAAGACAATAATAAAAACAAAAAAACCTATATACTGAAGCTATAATATTATATTTAATCCCTAAATCCTAAGCCTCAACACTAAAACGGTATTATTAATTCATATTCTCCATTTTCTTATGTTTTCTCTTATGATAAATAGTTATTAAACATAGAAAAGCAAAAACCCTTTAACGATTTGTGCAGCTGAGAATTTTTATTTTTATTTTATATTAAATAAACCTTGTATTAACCATTCTTTAAGTGGTATATATTTCAATTACAAGCTAAAGCGCTTCTATAATATTCTAAGTCTTCTGGTAAGAAAGGAGAAATATGTTGTGTTAGATTGATATAATCAATTAAACGAATTATAAAATGGATGTCTGCTATATGAAATGGATATAAAATTAACATTAATGATGATGTAATTAAAAGGTGAAACAAATTGTTAGATATATGATGTATATCGAATAACAATAAAAGCAAAATGCACATGCCTCACTATAGTGAATGCTTTAATAAATATATATATAAGCTTCTTACAAAATGAGCGTGTTAATGAATATAACACCATATTTTGTAGTGTGATAATATTATTTAAAAACAATTACATTAAGATATATGAAAACTGAGCATAAGGAAGTTTTTGAACTAAGATAATCCTCCTCTTGGACATTTATACATAACATATTCGTAATTATATTATTCTCTATATTTGCTAGATTAATAATTATAATCTTTTTGTGTAAAGAAAAATATGTATTTTATTTATTTAATATACACTACTTTAAATTTTATGTAAGAAATATTTATTTAAATTATTTCAAAAAAAAAAAAAACATAATCATAAGAATAAAGTAATTTTTTTATTATCACTATACTCCTTATTTTGATAATACATATACAAAAATTATAAAAGCAAGTAGAATGATAAATGAGAAAAATAAAATTCATCTCATTTTAATAGGCACATTTGATACTGTGTATAATAATTTAATTTATAAAAAGTACAAATAGTATACAAAACATAGACGAGTACTCATAATTATATGAATACAATTTATAGAATAAAAAAAGTTTATAATTAGACAATTAAAAGGTTATATTTTCTTCCCCCAAATAAAATTGCAATAAAAAAGAATATATTTTAAAATAATGATAATGCTATAAAATATATTTCTTTCTTTTTTATAGATATTAATAATGAATGAATCGATATATTTCTATTTTTGAACTATTAATGAAATTATTATAAATAAATCGATACACATAATAATCTGTAAATATATCGTTAATTTCTAGGAGCAATAATAAAATATAAAAAATGGAAATATTCAAATTTAATGAATAAATTGAATTCAATATGAATAATTTGTGAAAAGCAATAATTTCATTTTATAACTGATAAAAAATATTTAATGTATTTTGGATTTATGAATCAGCTTTTATATTTTATTTTTATAATTTTGTGTTATAGTTAAGTCTTTTAATTTATTGTTTTTATTTTATGTTTAACGTTCAATAAATTCTGTTTAATTATTCTACGTTCATGTTCTTTGTCTCAGATATTATTGCTTATTATTTTAAAAACAATTTAAATTAGAAATTCTATATTCCTTTTGGTTATAATGTTATTTTATTAATTATTCTTTTTATATATATATATTTTTTTTTTTCACTGCTTAAAGTAAATTAAAACTAACATTAAGAGCTATTTCATAATGGCAGATTTCTATTTATTATATATTTAAATATTTTTGTGTTACAATTTTAATACTTACATTATTTTTTTTCATTATTATAGTATTTATATACATTAGTGTTAATCCCTGAATAAACATATGAGAAATAAGGAATATTATATGTATTGGTTAATTTAAAAAGGTTGTATTATATTATGTAATACAGCATTTGTTTGCGCAAGCATAGTAATTTACGTTTATTATATTTTCAATCTATTTCATAATAATTTATTCCTCTTTTTTGTATATTAAATGTGTGGCAAGCAGAATTACTATTATTTGATTCATTTAGTTCATTTATGTATATTATTAATATATAGCATTGTACTTTGTAAATTTATGAATTATAATGACTTCACTATAATTTTAACACAAATTTCTTTTATGAATAATATATATAATATGAAAAGTATTAAATAATTTTCTAGAAACTTCATTTATTATATTCTTATTTTTTATAATATTACAATAAAGAAAAGTATTTTAAATGTATCTATTTAAATATCATAAATATATATGAGCGTTCTTTAAAACATGGATAAGTGTTGATATATTTATATATATATTTTATATTAGAATTATTAATGTCTTTGATAAACATTCTCGAATATAGCGTGTCATTTTTTTCCATTCATTCATTAAACCTTTTATTCAATTTTTTTTAGATAATGAAATATATCTATATAACTACAATAAAAATATAAATAATATCATAATCATAAGAACTGTATAAAAAAAATTATAATAACAGTATAATTAATAAATATATATTATAATATTATAAAAAATGTCTTTTTGAAAAAGTGTTCCTACTTACATTTATGTAGTACATAAGGGGGAGTACATATTTAGCTAAAAATATTTTCCATAAACATATGAAAAAAAAATATGTAAATATACTAATAATTTAAAGAATAATTCTTGAATTTATTATTATATAAAATAAGATTTTTATATATATCTTAATGATAAAAACTTGATAATATTTATAAATATATATATTTTTAATTTTTTGTAAAACAATATATATTATAACAAAATTAAATTGAATAGAAACAACACGTGTACTTAAAAATATGCTCCTCCAAAATAAATTGAAAAAATTATAACGTAATATGGAGGAAAAATACTCATAAAAATAATCAAATGTAAAACGAGCGATAATTTTAGTAATATATATATTAACTATATATGTAAAATATTGTAAATTAAAAAAATATTCATATGATGCTGTAAAAATCTCTTCATATATAAAATAATAATACTTATAATATATGTTACAGTAATTATTTACTATTGTGCTCTACATTTTATACATTATATACAGTGTTCATATAATACTAAAATAAATCCAAAATAATTATTGTTTATTATTAGAAAAGTGATTAAATTATATTTATTAATAATATATATTATTTAATAGTTAATATGTAAGAATATACATTTTGTCATAAAAAAAAAGTTATGCATGATAGGAAAATAAAAAAAAAATTTCGTATCATGTATAAAATCTGATATAAATATTTATATACATATGTATATAAATATTTTTTTATGGTATATGCCTACTGCTTATATAATTAATTATAAAAAAGAATATTTTCATTGTATTTAATCTAAATATATATACGATATGAACGCTGATAGAGTATTATAAATGAAATTATTCAAAAATAACGCAAGAGGAATAAAGAGTAAATGTATATATAAAATGAAAATTAATTAATATAATATATTATACATAAAAAATATGAATTTCATATACATAAATAATTCAACATACACGTTTCAGATTAAAATATGGGAGAAATTACAGAAAAAACCTTTAAAAAATATTGTTCTATAAAAAAGAAAATGCATATATTATTTTTTACAATTTTTATGACTTATAATATTAAGTCTTATGCATAACGTATTCAGAAAAATTATAAATGTATTGAAAAAAAGTGGATAAATAAAGAATATATTTTAAGAAAACAAATATATACATTTATATTATTATTTTATAAATGAGCATACTTTACACACATAAATATTCATAGAATAATAAAAAATAATATAATATAAACTGTTGATATAAAATAAAAATATATACTTATATATTAAAAATTTATAATCATATCATAATCCTGAAGACTAAACCGTGGTTAATAATCTCTATACTACTAAGGAATTAATAAAATACGTAACTATTTGAAAATGGACAACGAAAATATTAATAGAAGTATATGTTTTCAGATATGTTTTTTTTTTATAAATTAAATTTTAATGCTATTACAAAAACTACAGAACATACGCAAAAAATAGCAATATTTATATTTTTATTATTAGGGAAAATTAACATTATATATATTTTTTTTATTATTTTATGTATTTGTACAATAAATTTTTATGAAAAATGATGCCTTTAATATTACATTTTCCAAATATGTAAAATTATTATTTATATAAATTATTATACATATGGTTTCACTATTTAGATGAATATATTAATGAAATATATCGTATTTCATTTAAAATATCATTTATTTTTTAAGAAACATGATAATTAGTTATAAAATACTTCTATTATATTGTACTATGAATTTTGCAATTATACAAGTAAATAATTAAATGATATTAGTTAAAAAAATATCCTTAATTTTTAAACATTTATACTATTCTTAGAAAATCATATGATTTTTTTTAATTCACATATATAAGCATATAATATAATATAAGATGAAGAAATCTATTGTATATTGAATTATTATAATAGATGATATATTTTTTTTATATTTTTATGTTCATTTATCGAAAAAAATTATAATATCTGGTTTAATAAATATATATATTCTTTTAACATTAACTTTTTTTTATTTTCAGTATGAAATTGTAGAAAAATTCCCTGAATGTAATGAACACATAAACACAAAACAGAATACCATTACATCAGGAGGGACCAACAATGTATGGGAAATTTTGTGCTTAAAACCAGATACTATAACGACTATAAATAAGCATTCAATTGATTATAGCGGTAAAGTTAGTGAGATATGTGTTCAAGCTATGGAGTACCTACATGATGTTAATCTTAGAACTGAGGAATTTTTAAAGGACGCTGGTTGCGCATACTTTTATTATTGGATATTTGATGTTGCTTTTAATAAAAACATGTCAAAAATTAATGATATACCATATCTTTTTAATGAATTCACAGATTTACTTAAAAGGAACATACTTGCACTTAACAGTTCGGGAAAACTTGAAATTCCAATAAATGAACTATGCTTATATTCTCAGGAGAGTATTATAAAAAGGGATTTTCAAAAAATCATATATATATATAACTTGTATGATATAATTAATAGTAAGGGAGGAAAAATTAATAAAGATGTTTTTAAACAAATAGTAAATATAGTGAAACAGTATAATGAAAACATGGAAAGTGTATCGTGTAAAATTGTAGAAATTCCGGATCAACCTACTTGCAAAAATAATATATTAGTTCCCATTATAATTACAATGATTGTAACATTCTTAATATCCCTCTTCATATTTATTTTGTTAAAGGTTAAATGCAATTATATTTATACATTTTTATCCAAAATAAATTGCCTAATTAATTTGTAATAAATAACCTATATAATTAATATATATATTTCATATTTCAATAATTAGTTCACAACATTAGGTTCATTGATACAAGGTGCAACATTAATCAGAAGAAATGTGTATGATAATATAGATGAAGAATTGAGTAGATTTCGAGGATCTGATATATATGGCACTATGTCGAGAAACAGTGTAAATAATATATTATATAATTCTAAATAATGTTTACATTAAATGGATAATGTAAAATTTATAATAGCTTTATAAAACATATTAAAAATTTAAAAGAATATATATGAAAAATATTTACAAGCATGAAGACCATAAAAATACATGAATGTTTTTAAAGTGTAAAAAATTATGTATAATAGTTTATATAATAAATATTGCTTTAAGCTAAATAATACCATAATTAGGATTACATAATTCGATAATAATATATAAAGTAATAATATTATAAATAAACTTATTTTTTTCATGCTTTCATATACTGTAAATTAAATATATAGCATGATTGTAATGATATATATAGGCATGTAATAAAATAGAATCATAGTATATTTTAAGGGATAGTCTAGTAATATAGGGAAAGAGAAATAATTCTTTAAATAATTTAATATATGTTAAAAAAATTATTTATTTAAATGTTTATTTATTCTATAATTGTGTTGAAATATATGTAAAATTATTAAATATATATATAAATCGTTTAATACTGTTGAATTGTGTTGACAATAGTTATAATAGATCATTATATTAGGAAAAGTATATGCCTATTTATTTGTAAATTCAATATGAAAAATATTATTACACATAAGAACTCTAGAATATGGGAAGGAACAAATGATAATATATTATTCACATGTTAGAATTCTTGTTTTTATCCTTTAATTCTTTTATATACCATTTTTATTTTTTTACACATTTATTAATTATGAATTTATTTGTAATTTATTCTATGAGATCCTATATTGACGTTGTTAAGAGTCCGCATTTAATGAAAATATATAAATAACAACATATATTTATTCCTTTATGATTATACTCAATGTTATTTTTTTATAAAAGAGAACCAGTTGATATCTGTATATTATATTATCATCAGTTATTATAAAATTTTCTAAATATTTACAACATATATAATTATAAATTGTGGAATAAAATATATAATATTACATTTAATATATAACATATATGTTCCTTTTTTTTTAATTAATGTACAAAAAATTATGGTTATTGATATTGTAATAAAAGTAGTTCGTGAGATATATATATTAATTATAGAATAAGTCTTAAGGTAGTGTAATATATATATAAATATCTTCAAAGTTATTGTAAATATGTTTTATAATTATACATAACGCACTAGGTTTATGTTTAGCATCCATATTCTTTTTATTCTTTAATATTTATTTGTTATTGTATGCATTTTTTATATTAATATTTTTATAATTAATTTATGAATTTTATTATACAAAAAAAATTATTTATACCTATTCATATATTTATTCTGATTTTTTTATATATAAATATATATTACGAAATAATTTTAAATTTAATTCTCTGCTCTTATATATATATCAATATGGTTCCTTTTCATAATATATAATTCATTTAATTTTCTATATTGAACATATATATATTTATAAAGAAAAAGTTGTATTCTTAAGTTACATATTTAATATAATATTATAATATGATTTTTTAATTTGTAAGTATATTGCATATCAAATAACATAATAATTAGTTGTATAATTTACCTATGCTTATATTTTATGTATAAATATATATTTTTTACTACAAATAATACATTTTATTTTAAATATAAATGTGTATTTACAAAATATTAATTAAATGTTATTAGAATTGCTTTTATAATCTTCTAATACCTGGAATGTTTGTTACGAAATATATATAAATATATCTTAACTATCTATCTGTTTTATAATTATTAACTATAATGTTTTACATGTGAATAACTATAATTCTAAAATGGTGCCGCTTACATATAGGAAGAAATGATACATAAAAATATATATATAATTATAATATATATAAATCAATGTTCGATATGTTCTATTTACTATATATATATTTTTTAGTTATACGGGATATGATAAAAAAGTAAATTATAATGACTATGTAACAAATGTAAATATATAAAATATTTATATATTATCCAAGTTAATATTATATCAATTATTCAGAAATAAAAACAAAATTCTACATAAAAGAATGTTTTACTGCCAATTTATAAAGGATTAAGAAACATAAATACAATATTTTATATTATTCATTAAATTAGATGTGTATGCTACTATAATATATGGATCACATATATAAATTCATTATGTGTACTCTGCATTTATGTGTAAGAAGAAAATATGTATAGAATGCGAATAAATTGTGAAAAAAACTACATTGTTTTACCATATATTAAAAAGAATAACCAAATTATGATCTATAATATAATTTCACTTTTTAAAAATAGTGTGAAATTATTATTAATTAAAAATATTTATTGAATTTACTTATTTAAAAAACTCATGAATATATTGAAGATATATATAGTAAAATAGTACATAGAACTAGCAATATATTGAGAATAAAAATAAGATATATAAATATAACTTGCATATTATTTTGGTTTCTTCAGTCAGAACAAATAATATTTTCAATAATTTGTAATATATTACTAAATGGTTTTCATGAATATCATAAGCAGATATATTATATATTTTACTGTATTATTATTTAAATAATTACATAAGGAAAAATATAACGAATATTATACATACCTGTAATGAAAATAATAATTATTTTGATAAAAATATATGTACATAAGGAGTTTTTTACAATTTATTATTTAGGTTTTCAGTATTCAGAATGTTTTTATTCTGTGAAATAATCATTATACATTTTGCAAACTCTATATTTTGTTTCATATAGTCATATTTTTACATGTTGTATATATTTTCCACTGTTTCACATTAATACACAATTTTTTTTGTAAAAAGATTTTGAATATATACATATAAATTATATAAATAATACTCTTATCTTATATAATAATAAATAAGAGCTTTATATTCATTTGTTTAGTTATTTATTTTTTCCTTTCGCAAGTTTTAACTTAATATATATATTCTCTTAGGATTCAGATTTATGGTATAGAGTTCATGGTTCTGTGTACAAATATAAATCTATATTATTCATTTTATGTATTAGTAGTATATCTATTATTATATGTTCTTTTATAATTTTAACATTTTAAATGAATATATTTCTTATTGCTACTTGTAAATGCTTAAATATTTATATAGCAAATATTTTTAAAGTACAATATAAAGGGAATAATTTTAGTTATATTTAGTTTTATATAGAACAGAATATATCATTTTCTAATTGTGTTTCCTATTATATTAGTTATATATATTTATAATAACATAGTGTATTAGATTATATGTTGTTTTTATGGTGCAGCAGATGTAATTTATTAATTATATGAAAAAGGAATTGCTAAATTATATTAAATAAATTATATTAATTGATTCATGTTTTTATATACTATTAATATATGAATTTTTGTTGCCATTTAATATTTTATATTTAATAAAGTACTTGATTTTTTATTTTTGTTTTTTTTATATAAATTACGGCACTTTGAAGGTAAGATTAAATATAATAAATAATTTCCGATACTAGATGTTAAATTATAACAATATTTAAATAGTAGAGCTAAATGTTATAAAAAAATATTTTTTCTTATTTCATGAATGTCTATATATTGTATTTATTTAAATTGTAATTATAATGCAGAATAACTAACATTGCATTATATTTTATTTATAAATATATTTGGCTTAATTTACAAATAACCTTATGTTATACGGCAAAAAGTTCTTTCATCTTGACATATAATATATCTGATGGTTATACTCATTTCGATTTACATTTATATGCTATAAAGCATGATTAAATATATTTTTATTGTTTATACCTAAAATTATTTTTTTTTTTTTTGTCCATAATGGGGTGTACATCCAATAAAAAAACAAACATTATGATTTAATAATATACTATATGATAACATGCGTATATTCTATATTTTTATCACTTATGAATGAATTAAAAAATATATTATTTATATGTATCAGGGTTTAGGGTTCAGGGT